CAAGTGTGGAGAAGCATTAGGCAAGTTTCTACAAAATGATGTGCCAGTGAATCTCGCTCTGTCCTGCAGTTTTCCTGCTATTGTAATTCCAAGCTATTGATGATTAGAAAATATCATTAAAATTTTGGACTATTTAATGTCATTAAAGTCTCCTAAATTGTCATATGCTGATATGTACTGAAGTTGTGTTCAGAACCCCAGAAGAGAGCTGACTTTTTTTTTCACTTAGTTTAGCTTGTATGTTGTAACAAATATGCAATAGTACTTGCAATTCTATAATGCAATTTACTTTTTGCGTACTGTTGTATATCATCTCCTGGAAGAAGTAACCTTGGAGATGTTGTATACAGGCCTTACATGGTAAGTAGGGCATATTAATGGATTTCATCAATTTTAGTCTTTCCTGCTATGCCTTGACTATCTAAACCAGTAACCTCATACTTCTGCAGTGGAGTAGTATGATAACATCCAGCATCAAAGCTTGAGTTACGTGACAGCTGCAAACAGTGGTGGTGCTTCTTTAGGGTCTTGATTGCAAGTACCAAGGGGCTGTCCTGTTGCTAAAAGAGAAGTGGTCGTAGGGAAAGGTGAACAAGTCATGAGGCTCCAGAAGAACTTTCCTATGCTTTTAATGTGTATTCTTAGGTTTCTCCATATAAAGCTTGAAACTTTGCAGTCTTATTGCCTGTAACATGTAAAATTCATTATGGCAAATGTATATACCTGAATTTAAAATTATGAAATTAAGTATAACTGTATTCAATCTATACTTAAACTAAAAGTTTTAATTCTTTAATAAATGTGCAGGTCCTCTGTACCACTAAGAGAAAAGTAACTGCAGTTTAATTACCTTTAAGTAATATATTTTATTTTTAAACAATGTATATATAATATAATAAGCGGAAGGTGAAAAAATATTTTAGGGTCTTCTGCCCTAACATCCTTTTTAATCGTTCTGGATTTGGAGCCCATTTTTGGAACTAACAAAGTACCGTATAACAGGCACCAAATCCCTTCAGCTAAGAGTCGAGCTTTAAGTAAGTATTTGGGAGATAATCAAGATGCCTAATGTAAGAAGAGTCTTACATTCTTAGATGGTGGATTGATAGTAGCAGTGGTGGGTTCTGCTAGATGTTTGTAAGTTAAGCTCCAGCTCTGACCTATCCCTTGGATAAGCTTATTTCCTTCCATTGACTATAGAGGAAGACTAGTTTCTTAAATTTATTTGCGCAAATTCTCTTATGAGTGAATTCTCTGTCATACTGATGATGAGGGGACCGAACTCCCTGAATCTGCTTAGCCCAGCACGGTGTCACCCTGTGACTTTGAGCCCAGCACTTCTTCACTTTGAATTTTGCAGCTCAGTGCAGGTTTATCAAAAGCCAGGCACGGCTTAATCAGGGATGGCGGTCGGTTGACTTTGAACACAGCCACTGAAACAACTGTTGCTGAACTTGACAAGATGGATAGATACATTGATTAACCTTGCAGCGTAAAGTAATCCTTCTTAGATATTTTAATACATGACTTAGGTTCAGAATAAAGATAACTGCACTGAGCAGCCTGACCTCTTTGGGTCATGGGCCAGTGAAGATTCCCAGGCTAAGGAGCCTTAGAGTTCTGGGGGTTTTGATGTGAGGTTTTCAGGATTTTGTTCAGAAGCCTGTGTTGCTTTTTGCGCTGAATCACTGCCCCAGTGACTCAGTTGTAGGAGCACGGTGCCTTTGAAAGTGTTGACTTGAATGGTTGTTACTTTATATATAGTAAGAAAAAGACACTTACCAAGTATCCAGGCTTTTAACCCTGTAAGCTGTATCTGTGTCTACTTTTTTGGTATTTACCTTTACCTTTTTCCTTTTATGCTTTTTCAAAGTAAAAATATTTTCTCACCTGTTTAAATGTTCATGTAGTATCTGGTTTATAGGTAGAAAACCAGTTGCCGATATCTGCTCCTACGAATAAAGTTATCAGGTATGCTAAACGTACATCTTGATTGTCATGCAAAAAACACTTTCACATTTCCAAGCCAACTAGCTGCCCTCTCATGGCTCGGTATTCCATATGCATAGAAAAGGTGTAGCTGGAGGGGGAAATTCTATGAGAATGAATAAAGTAGATGGTTTCTTATAATACTGTGAAGATCAGCTCAACTTTGAGAGCCCATTTAGACTTCAGCTTTGTTTTCTTTGAGCTCGAATGTGAAAGCTAGAAAGCAAGCAACTATTACATGGGGGGAAAAAAAAAGCTTTTATGTTTTCCAGAACTGGTATGGGGCCAAGTAGAAGGGGGGTCAGCGTGCGGTTTTCTTGCTGGCTTGTTGTTCATGAAAAGGGAAGGTTGTACATTCTTAACCTAACAAATCTATTTATTCCTGCTCTGCTTTATGATAGTTACCTTCCATACCTTCCACTGTGGTTGCTCTGACAGGCCAGAGAGCCGCAGCATAAGCCCAGCTGCTGTCTGCACAGCTGGAGCCGCACCAGGACAGCTGCAAACAAGGAGGGTAGCTGGAGGGACAGTGGAAACAGCTTAGGGCCTCGGGTCCAGTTCTGGTGGTTTTGCAGCTTGCTAAGACGTATATATGTGTATTGGAACACGGAGGGGAAGAAGGATGAATATCTGGAACTGGGCAATTCAAATGCATACTAGTAACTGCAGCATTTTAGAAAAAAAGATCTGGAAGGGACATTAGGATGACGCCCGCTCTGTTTGACTGTTTCAAGGTGGTGTTGTAAATGTCATCCCGTATCAACCTGGTCTAAAACATTCTTAAACATTTTTGCAGACTCTAAAAAGCTACTCAGAGGTCTGAGATAAGCTGGCAGTTTTGTGATAGCTTTAGCTAATTTTGGAAGTATCCTAGAATGAGTACATTAGGCTCAGTTAAACTGAAAATATTCAGACAACCTAAGTACTCTGTAACCTGTTTTTTACCTATAACAGGCTGAACTTGAACTTCTTACTCACTTAGACTAAATGTGCTAGCCATCTGCTCACTCTCCACTGACAGAACAAAGGTATTAAACACTGATTTTTTCTTTGAGCATCGTCTGTTGAGAAAGCTCTGTTCTCTTATGCTAACTAAAATTGGAATAGTATAGACTCCAGTAAAATATGTAATTGGCTTGCTGATAAACATAACCAAGACTCATAGAAGAAGTGAGCAACATAATGTGTACACTCCCCAGAGAAAGCGATTGGGTATACGCAGGAGTTTTCACCTAGGAAGGTGAACAGAGTTGTATTATCTCTGTCTGAAACAGTCATTTGTCCTGGTGTTTCCTTATTATTTCGGACAGGACTTTCAGAGTAGCTTTGATCTGTGATGTGCTTTGATCCTGCTTGTGAGGAGGCCTTTCTTTATTGATTCTTTTCCTGAAAAGGCCCAATCCTGTTAAAAGGGCTTGTCTTTTTTCCCTTGTATTTTCTTCTTTCCTTTCTCAACTGTTTTTGTCCAGGTATCACCCTTACTAAGTCCTCAGCTTGTCTCTGGAGGAATTGCTGTTTCAGTGGCATCACGTTAGTTTATCTAGGCTTGGAATTACGCTTGCTGCATTTGGGGGCTGCTCATGTCATGTGGTTTGAGGATAAGGGTTTTTTTTCTTTTTGTTTTTTCTTTTTATTTTTCCGTGTAGATTTTTTTTTTCTGGTTCAATGCAGTATTGTCAGTAATACCTACCAATCTAAGGTTATTCAGTGTCTTTCCATACAGCATGACTGCGTGTCATTGTGCTCCATGAGTCCATGCTTCCAGTATCTGCCCTACCCTCGTGCACCTGCTAAATTTCCAGTGACACACTTGCAGTCCCCTGAGCACCTACCTTGTTGTCTCTCTGATATTCACAAACTGAGTAACAGCATTCACCTGTTCCAATCCTCTTGTTGTATTTTAATGGGGTATTTTCTTCAGCCCAGTATTATCCCTTTTCCAGAAGCAGTGAGGTGATCTGTTTGAATACTAGTTTACAGCTCAGTCTTTGAGCCATTATGTCCTTGAAGGCCCCAAAGCTTATGATTAAAAGGGATTACCTTAAGAGAGCATTTTAATAGCAAATGAACTTTTAGTGTATCTTCGTCTTTCAGTTATGTGGTGGCACCAAATTTGAAGAATGCTTTTCTGTGATGCAAGATTTGGGGATTTTTCCTTACTCTCTTAATTTGCAATGGGTGAATTGCCCATCTCATTTTTATACTCTTATAGGTTATATTTTATCTGTCTGAAAGAGGACCTTGCAGATCTGCTTTAATGGAAAGTAAACAGTCTGTTTAAACTGTGTTTCAGTGGGGAAGTGAGAAAGAACCTCTCTTCTGTTCATCCACCAGTAGTCACGAAGCTTTCAGGAAACTTGAAATCTTAAGGCATTCTTCTGCCTTTGTTTAGTCAAAATTTGTCAACAGATTAATAGACGAAGGGCACATAAACAGACAATATGATCCAATAAGTCTTTTTTCCTTAGGAAATCGGGTTGATAAGTAGCAGCTCAGTGAAACCCCCGAGTCCTCTAACCTGCTAAATAAGTTGCAGAAATGTTTGTAAAAATACAGCCCAGTAATTAGTTCAGGCTATTACTGCAATTGTACATTCTGATATTTGTTCATGCAAGTAGCTAGCTAAGTATCTAACTAGCACTTTTGATGTGGTGTAACCCATTTTGTATGCACACTTACAGCATTTTCACAGTTGTGTTGCGCATATAAATGTTTGAAGTATATTCTGCAACTCAGAATGGATGTTGCTTTCTACTTGTCATTGTTGTATAAAAAAACCAACTTCAGTTGACTGAGAATATGTTAGTAAATGAGAAAACAAAATGCGTTGCAGCTAGTTTCCTGAACTGTCAATTATAAACTGTTAAGACAGTTTTATTATGTTATTTTTCTCTTATATATTTATACCTATTTATAACTCTAGATTTAGAAGTTTTAAATCCTGCTTCCCCACCCAATATGTCGCTTCTTATGTTGATTTTTTTTTTTAATTTATTTTTTATTATTTGCAGGTCTGCTATTAAAGCGTTGCGTCCTGGTGGATCTCTGGTCTATTCTACATGCACTCTCTCAAAGGCAGAAAACAGCGATGTAATAAATCTCATTCTAAACTCCTGCAGTAACGTTATGCCCGTAGACATAAGTGAAATGGCCAAAGCTGTTTCTCAGGAATTCACTTTTCTCAGTGGTACACAAGAGCATGAACTTCTGGTTCTCCCAGAGAAAGGGAGAGCATGGGGTCCAATGTACGTAGCTAAATTAAAGAAAATGTAGTCCATCTGATGCCTGTTAGTTTTTTTTATAAGGGATATGTGATAAATTAATATTTATTTCTAATATAGTATGTGTATGCGAACATGTCGAAGGCAACTGAATTTAGAGCATTGCGGTTTTGTATCAGCAGCTGCATAATAAAAAGGAAGCTAAACACTTAGTTTAGCTTAAAATACTGAATGTGTCTTCTAACGTGGACTTCTAATAAAGTCCTTACGAAGTCAAGGGAGCTTTGTGTTGTTTTTAAGGTGATGCTCTTAAATGGATTTGTATCCTTGAATAGAGGTCTAATGTGGTGGGGTTTTGCACTGGTTTTTGTTTTTCTAATTACTAATTTGTTTTTAATACACTACATTTTAAAATAAATGGTTTCAATGGTCTGAAGTCATGAAAAATCCTGCATTCTCTCTCAAACACATGTAGAAATCTGTTTTCCTGTTAGTACTGATTTGTATGCAGAGTTTGTCATCTTAAGTGCTGACTATTCTGAGCATTGGAAAACAGGTTTCATATTTGCTAAGTTGTTTCCTGGTTAAAAACTGTCTTTTGTTTACAGTTGCAAAGTTCAGCAGCTCTATCAACACCAGCTTTTTCTTTTTTTATATTTTCAATCTTATGAAAATATAAATTGAAAGAGTAAACTACATTGAAATGTTCTTAAAACAGTAGATTTAGATGTGTTCAGCTTTGATACTCAGTTTGTGGCATAACGCAATATATCGAGCAGCATCCAGAGCACATATTTGAAACAGAAGTAGAATGATTAACAACCACAATAATAGCACAGTGTTCAGAGAGTTTTGTTACATAATTACAGTCATGATGAGCAAAACAGACAATCTGTAAAAGTGGCGTGTCCACCGAGTTAAGATATGTTATGTGAATTCATGATGTCATGTCTATGGTAGGTAAGGAGAGAGAGTCCCAGTGAAGAACGTGTAATGTTTTTAGGTTCCCTCGCTTCTGCTACACGATTCAATGGATAAATATATAGACATATGGGCACATCTTCATGCGTATCCACATGCAAACTGTGTCTTCCTGTGTACTGCCTGTGGGCTCGGTGTACACACTTCTAATCCAGCAGTGCTTGAATTATGCCTAGGAATGGATCACGTAATGGTGTATGTATTCGGTTGAATGCTTGTCTTGAAGTAGAACGGAGCCTTTTCATCCCTCTCTGAGCAAAGAGGAGTCCTTTCCCTGATGGAAGCTTTTAGTAATTTTTTTTAAGAAATGGTCTTTTAAAGAACAGAGGGTTTTTTTTCTGGTAGATGATTTGCTTGTGTGGAAATGTGTGTGAGATTGTGTACATTCATATATATATTTTTTTTGGGGGGGGGCATATATATGTAATTATAAGGTTTTTGCAATCACAAACATGATTTGTCAATGCAGATTTGATTATTTTTTTTTCCCTGAATACAAAAGAATATCAACTTGTAAATACCATAAAAACTAACAAATTGGTGATTCTGCAACTCTTTAACAAGGCAGGAATAAAGTTGATTGCCTGAGGTCTTCTGTAAGGAGCTGCATGTAACCACGCAGGAAATGCAGTAGTGCTACATGAGATTCTCCGGTGATTCTGTTGCTGTGAGCTCAGACATACTTGTTACATCTGTGACTGAACTGCCTTTTGTCTCTGGCAACTTCAGTTGGCTTTTCACTACCTTTATTCTCTGCTTACTTTGTTAGACTGGTGACCCTTGACTCTGCATTCACAGCAATTCTCTGTCAGTACAGCCGTGGTCATGGAGCGCTCAACATTTGTCCCCACTCTGAGCATTGTGGCTGCTGAGAAAGTCCTGTCCCTGCTGCCTAGAGCAGTGAGAGGGCAGCGTTCAGAAGCACAGCACCTGAACTGAAGAAAATCTTAGTTGCCTAAAGCAGATGCTGATTGTGAGGAGCAGCTTTGGTTCTTCAGCTTTCTATGACTAAGAGGAGGATGGTTGGGCAGTTTGCCCTCAGAATAGTGTCTTGCACTATATCTTTTGCTGAAGGAAATACATGCATAAGGTGCTCTGCCACCTCTGCTCTGATGCATGAGCTTCCACAGTTATCCTTTCCCCTGCTTTGTGATGAAAAATGTTTGAGGTGCCCCTGTAGTGTTAAATTGTCAGCAGCGTCTCTGAAAACTTAAGAGGATATAAAGCGCGTGCAACTTGAGGCACAGAAGTTACTAATGTATGCAGATGATACTGTGTTCCTATGAAAAGACCTAACAGCATCTGTCCCAGAAACATTAAATGTAATATCCAGATTTGGAGTCATCTCAGGCTACTGGATGAAATAACAATACCCTTGTCAAAATGCTTTCCATCAGTTTTATTTGCCCTGTGGAAATTGAAATGGAAAGCCAAGAATGTAACTTACTTGGGGATGGAATTAAAATACGTGGTTAAACAGAATGGTTGAGGAGAACGTGGGCTAGGTAATCACAGAAAGAACAAAGGAATCCTTGAAAACTGAACTTCGCTGAATCTCAGCATATGGGTGAGTCCCTGTGAACTGCATTGCATTAGACCTAAATTATGCAGCAAGACCTGCTGATGTATGTAAAAACTGCACTGAGTTCTGCATAACCCAATGCTGATCTCCTGGAGTTTCTTTTCAACTAGTCTAAAAATGCACTAAAAAGGGAAGAAAAAATGAGGCTAATTAATAAGTGATTTATTTTGCTTTGTAGCAGGTGAATGCTAGTCCAGAGTGCTGTGGGGATTTTATTTTTTTTTTTTGTTCTAATCAGTTGTGGCTGGTGACCGGGATTTGGTAAGCACAGGTGGAAGGAAAGAGGGGTGAGAAGGAAAAAGCAGAAAGGGTGGGAGGCATGCCTGTAGAGGTAAGGGGCAAGATTTGCACATGTGGGGAAGCAGCTTCCACTCAAGCTCACTTCCTGAAAAGTTTTCATGTCCATTCAGGTATCTCCTAGATACTTCTGGTGTCCTAAGACCTGGGCGTGCTGATTGACCAGAAGCTCAGCATGAGTCAACAATGTGCAATCACAGCCCAGAAGGCCAACCGTGTCCTGGGCTGCATCAGAAGTGTGGCCAGCAGGTTGAGGGGGGTGATTCTGCCCCTCTACTCCACTCTCGTGAGACCCCACCTGGAGTACTGCATCCAGCTCTGGAGTCCCCAACATAAAAAGGACATGGACCTGCTGGAGCGTGTCCAGAGGAGAGCCACGAGGATGATGCAAGGGCTGGAGCAGCTCTGCTATGAGGAGAGGCTGAGAGAGCTGGGGCTGTTCAGCCTGGAGAAGAGGAGGCTCCGGGGAGATCTTATTGCGTCCTTCCAGTAGCTAAAGGGGGCCTACAGGAGAGCTGGGGAAGGACTGTTTACTGGGGCATGTAGTGACAGGATGAGGGGGAATGGTTTTAAACTGGAAGAGGGCAGGTTTAGATTAAACATTAGGAAGAAGATGTTCACTTTGAGGGTGATGAGGCACTGGAACAGGTTGCCCAGGGAGGTTGTTGAGGCCCCATCCCTGGAGGTGTTCAAGGCCAGGCTGGACGTGGCCTTGGGCAACCTGGTCTGGTGGGAGGTGTCCCTGTCTACAGCAGGGGGGTTGGAACTCAATGATTTTCAAGGTCCTTTCCAACCTAAACCTTTCTATGATTCTGTGATTCTAAGATGACTACTGCTCACCTTCAGGACAAGGCTGCAACATTTTCTCTTTTTACACCTTTTTCCTAGGGAATTGTAATTTAATTCCTCTACTACATCCTGCCTCCTCTTTCACGAGCAACACTAATGGAAATGGGGTAGCAAACAAGTCAGCCTCTCTAACTTAGAGGAAATTGCAGCCCCAGGAAAAAGGCAGGTGAGCAAGCTGAGGGCCAGAAAATTACTGGTTTTGTTGTATTGTGTGGTAGCCAGAGAAATCTGGTCTCTAATGAAGGCAATTAAGAGAGTATTTGTACAACTACTCACAATCATATTATGCATAGCACACATCAGTGCCAGTATATCTTGGAGGCAGCAGAGATAACTTGAGCTCAAATACTGTCACGCTTTTCTGCCATTCCCTTTCCAAACATACAAAAAGTAATTTCCCTGTTAGTTTCGGGGGGGAGGAGGGGGGGGCACAATAAGAAATGAAGGCCTTCTGTAAAGGCAACTTTGGTATTTGTCAAATTTTATCCTTTATTCAGTGACATCTGACACAATTCAATTATGGCTTGTCAAAAGCATTCTCCACCGTGGAACAGAGTGGAAAAACAGATTACATACAAACGGCTGTGGACTGTTACAGTCAACCAGGGGACTAACGAACTCTTGGCTTTCTTAGTAAGATGCGCAAAGAGAAGGTGAAGCGCCCTGAAAGAGGGGTAAAATGAAAAGATCAAGACCACAGCAGTAGAAGAAGAAGATGAAGTACTGGAGAAGAGATGCTGTGGTTTTTAGCCTGGAAGAGCAGCAATGTTGCACCCTGTGGAGGAAAAGGTCAGTGAGTATCGGGGTGGTGGAGAGAGGAGAGTTCCTTTGGGGGAGAGACAGTTACCTGTGCTGGGGTGGGAGGATCCCCTTAGTTCATTTGGCTGTCTTGGGAGAAAAATGTCTTTTGAGGTCATCAGTCATGAAAACTGCGGGTGCCTTGCCTTAAATTTGCAGGGTATTTAAATTAGCTATGAGCCCTTAAATAGAGCATGGCTACCAGCTTCTTGCAAAATGGATGGTTGTATCAGTGCGGTGTTCCTATCAGAAAAATTGATTTGCTGGGAGGAAATTTTGAGAATCTGATCTGGCTTAAATAGTCTGTCCTGTCATAGAAACATGTCCTGCTGGTAAGATGATTTAACTTTATGCAATATTGCCTATAAATGAGACTCTTTCTTCCAGGGGAAACTTGAACAGCACATATTGGTGTAGTCTCTTAACTTCCAGGTAAAAACTCAGGTAAAAGTGAAACTTTAAATTCTCAGTTATCAGCTTGTCAAACTTGGATCAGAGACCACAGGGCATACTCAGTCACTAGTCTTAGTTTTTAGATGGTGCTGCTGTGTCCCCACCACATGTTTTTTTACTAAAGATAGGTTTTATAAAACAGTTCATAGCAATCATGA